GGTTTGAAGATGCCACATATTATACTAAGCTATGTTCTCTCAAAATTTACTATAAGCGTTACCTTGTTAAAAGTGCTGGAAAGCAGAAATCTTCTTCAACTCTGAATTAAAATCTAACAGTGGAAGAATATCTTCTCATGCAATTTTTTTTTTCTAAAATGTCATGTATTCTAACCCAATTATAAGGATTCTATAAAGATGTACGGTATTATCAACCTGGAGTGAATATCACTTTTCACTGATGCAAATGAGATATGCAGTCAAGTATCATGGAATAATTGTTGTTTTGTCAATAGATCTTTCAAAATTCAAAGTCACTGGTGGAACTGTCTCTTATACACATCTTATTCCTCAACCAACACTAGTAGATGTTTCAATACAATAGTAGCCAATAGTGCAAGAAATATTATGTAGCTGTTAATACATCTTATTCATTAATAAAATTTAGAAAATAGCATACACAGTATGCTTTGTTTATGCTTTGACCTTTGACATGGACACTATAAACTACTAGATGGCCGGTCTCTTATACACATCTAGATGTGTAGAAGATACAGATATTGTCCTCATAGTCATAGTATTTTTTTTTATCATCATTCATTCTGTTTTCTTTTTAACGTTCCCACAATCAATGATGTGTTGTCTTCCTTTTCTATTGCTATACCATGTTGAAATACTTGTAATACCCACCATCGCTACTGCACCCTATTTTGCATATCCTTCATTGATTGGTCTCTTTCGATCATATGCAAGAATAGTATTTAGCTGCTTTAAAGGTCGTTGCTATTCATGGTACAGTACATCATTTGCTACTGCAGCCGTAACAGGGATTAAAATAAAAGATACTTTTTTTTGGATATTTGCTTCTTTTTTTTGTTTATATAAATTTCCATGTTTGTTAATCTAGATGTTGTAAATTTAAGAAATAATCTTAATGAAATTTTGTCTGCACAGACCTGTACCTGTCTCTTATACACATCTAGATGTGTATAAGAGACAGCTGTATATTAATTAAAAAAAAAAAACAATAAATAAATTTAAAACAGTTTGGTTTATACAATAGATCAGGTGAATCCATTTAATACACTCCATGATACAGATTGATGTTTTCTAGTACAAATTCCCAAAATTAACAGCATTCGTTTTGAAAAGAAGCGTTCTTTTTACTTTGCAAACGAGCCTCAAAAAGAAGCCCATACAAAGTTCGCATAAAAAAGAAAAAGCCCAAAGCTTAAATTCGGAGGTTTTACGGTATTAGTAATAACATTTTTTCATCTATTAACATAATTTATTCTGTTAATGATTCCTAATGATTTTTGTTTAATGTATCCGTACTGATCTAAATTATTTATTCGATTTATCTGATTCTAAAGTTATTTGAGTCATATTTTCGGACATAAATTATTTCTTTATTCATATAGACTTACTTTTGTTGGTGTAATAATTTCTAACGTAGGCTAATTACAAATTTACACAATTGTATTCGAATAATGCCGAACATAATACTATTATATATTCTTTTTCTTTTATAATTTCCGAAATATTTATTCGTTTAACATTCTCAAAAAATATTTAATACAAAATTTAATAGTTTATTCATTTCAGGCTTATTTAGGCTCACTTTTTAATTTTAATCAAGCTATCTCGTTTGGTGGTATCAACTGCCATTTTTTGTAATGGGACCGTAATGCATTTATGTTATTATTTTTGTTAACATTACATATATTAGTATGTATTAGAAGCAATCATTTTATATTTGAGTGTTTGATACAGCTCTTCATATAAAATAAGCCTACAAAAAGGAAAAATAGCTAAATACTGCATTATAAAGAAGCAATGAAACGAATCCCATTGGCGTGTAGAGGTAGAATAAGTGTATTTAGGCTTTCAATGAATGGGCATATTCATAATTCTGAAAACTTAAACTGAATTATAGACACAGTGAACTTACCCCTACAGAAGCATTTGCAATAGCGCCAGGATCGACACCTTTCATGCATTCTACAAATGCTTTACTATCCGTAAATTCACAGCCTACTTTCGTACCAATCATGATCGCTAAATCTTTGGCTTCATCCCGTTCCGTGTAAGCCCAATTACTTAGAGTAGTGCCACTCTGTAATTTTCAATATATCAATTTTAAGTGTGTAAGCAAATTGAGGACATTGACAAATGTTGATGCTGAAACATCACATTGCCCATCCTGCAGACTGCTTTGTAAACTCAGATGGGTGCCATCTGTTATTTTTAAAAGATCAACATGTTTTACATTAATGCACTTTTATTATAATGATAATAATATATTACAAATACTAATAATTATAATTTAATAAGTATTTATATATTCATATATTTATTCATTATAGTAATCATTGATAATTAATTACATGTTGTGTAGTAGGCCTATTATTAGTATAAGCAACAGCAGTTGTTATATAATTTACCGCACAAAACATGTCATCAAACATAATTAACCATACCTCTAAAATCGCTTGGCTAAAATAATCCCAACTTTCCTTTGAGAGGAGATGATAATCTACACTGGCCGATCCCGCACTTTCACCAAAGATCGTTACACGCGATGGATCGCCTCCAAACGCTGTGTAACGTAAAAAATTCATGTTCTAACAATGTAATTTCTAAACGTTCGCCGAGCTACATAATTCCACAAGGGGCTGAAATGAACCAGGGCATCGGAATAACCCCCAATGTTAAAGACGCCATGGGTTATTTAGAGTGCACACGACTGGCACACAGACCTGTACACAGAAGACTTCTGCTATAAACCGAACACTGCGTTAGAGCGTCTCGAACCAGTCACCGGATCCCACACGAAATTCGGACCGCATGTTCGATAGTTGAACGAAACTTCAATATTTTTACATACTGATCAAATTTTCTGATCGGCTCGGGAGGCTTTCCGATCCGAAAATTTGAATTTTTGAATGCACCTTTGAGGTTGTATTAAGCGACGCCCTTGCCGCAGGCCACTCGATACACCCATGCCTAGGTCCTGGGTTCAAATCCTGACAGGCATATTTTAAATATTACCACAAGGCATATATATAT